GGGCCGCCCGTCCCTCCCGCTCCGCTGCCGGCCGAGGGGCTCCGTCTGTCCGCCTTATCCCCCTGGAGCCGTTCCCTGGAGGGCCCCGACCACGGCCCGCGTAGCGCTGGGCTGCTCCGGCCGGACCGGTGTGTGCCCCCGCCTCCCAGCGCCCCAGGGGCGGTTTGGCTCCGAGGTGTGTCCCGGGGTGGTTTCGGGCCTCCCGGGCCTGCCTCGGGCAAGGCCCCTCGGTTGCCCCCCACCTCCCCGGAGCCCCGGCCCGCTCCCCTGTGCCCGGGCCCCGGTGACGTGTTGGTGGGTTTGGATAGCAGGTCTGCCGGGCCCAGGTAAACGCTGATCTTGTTTCGAGAGGTATTTAAATTAGGGTGCTGGGAAAGGGGGGGAGCTCGTGGTGTGTGTGGGGCCTGGCTTTTGGCTTGTTCATCTGAAGTGCCATTTTGGTTCTGGTGTGGGACATCTTTGCAGCTCCTCTCTGCACACAGGTGTATATTGCTGTGGAAATCTGGCAGGTTGCTTTCTGCCTAATGGAGAAGCGAAATGGGGAAGCCAGAAACCTCTGTAATCTGCTTAAGCAGCATGAAGGGCATATCTGCATTAAATGCTGCTCCACTAAGTTGTTGGGGTTTTTTGTTTGTTTGCTTGCTTGTTTTTAACGTGATTTTTGCCTTGTTTTGGTAAGGCAGGATGCAGAGTACTTCCCTGCGTGGGAAGTCACCACTGGATATGCTCAACAGTAGGTGCGCAGCGCAGTTTGTTGGTGCCTTGAGAATGCCTTTGGGCGAAGTAGCTTGTGTCTGTCTACGAGGTGCTCCCTCGCTGTTTGTAAATCCCGCATAGCTGTCGTTAGTTGTGTTGGGGTTTTCTGAAGAGTGGCTTTGCTCCTTAACCCTATGGTTTGCTGCTGCTGACAAGGGAAGGGGCTTCTGCTGCCCTCCTGTAAGACTCTGGGTCCCGTGTCCTGCCTCCTCCTTTGCTCTACAAATGCATTTGTAGCGGGGTGAGCATTAGACGAGGTCATTCAGCCTCAAGAACAGTATCCCGAGACTGACAGCGTGGGGACTTGGCGCTCGGGAAGGTCGTAGGTGTTTGGGGAAGGGCCACTGCTGCTCTCTGAGGACGGGTACCGGTTACCCTGGGTCGCAATGCCTGGAGGGAGGGAAGGAGGGACAGTTTGTGTGTGTCACAGGGCTACTGGCAGAACTACAAAATGATGCTTGTTCTGTTCATGGCTAGTTTTTTTTCCTACCTTTTTATGTTTTTGTGAAGTTTATGTTGTTACTTGCTACGTACAAAATACCTTCTCCCTGTTCTGTACCTTTGAGTTTCTTGTATGTCTTATCTAGATGCTAACCGTGACAGATATTGAAAATATAAGCATGGTTTGGTCTCTTGTGTCCACTGGTTCATATAACTTCCAGTAGTCTATGTGGTGGGGTTACCAGTGCACTCCAAAGCTCAGCAGTCAGTCCAAGCTCATATCCCTGCAGTGACAGACACGTGTTAGGAAATACGAGGATAAAGAGACAGCATGAGATGTCGTCTTTATCAAAGATAAGGAATTATCCAAGAAAAGTTTAAAGGTGGTAGAGGAAGGAAATATGATGAGGGAACCACCTGTCAAAAATAGGAAGAAATTTGTCTGAAGGTGAGGGGCCATTGGGAATTGCCTGAACCTGAAGTGAAAGGGGATGATGCTGCCCCTCTAGGTAAGGACGGCCTCTACTGTCACGCCTCTGCTCCACGTGGGATCGTTTTTATGCTGGAGCAAGTCAGCCTATGGAAGCAGGTTAATCTTTTCAGGAGCAGTTTTGTGGACATGCTCTTGGTCTTCCACTTAAGTAACAAGATAGAGAATGTGCTCAGTAAGAAATTTTTACTTTGCGTGTATGCTGAGAGCAAGATTTGTCTTGTACTATTCAGTGGCACAGCTGACTGCAAGGCCACGTACCCAAACTAGTGGCCCTTGTCTGTTGCGAAAGAAGGATACTGAAGCAATTAGAAAATAATGAAAGTTCAGCTGGACACAACAGGATTTCAGGGGGATGTTCCAAGTGAGGCGTAGCATGTAGCGTCTCTCTTCATTTTTAACTTCTAAATGCTGTCTTCAGAGCTCGGCAATGACTACGGGAGGGTAAACGTCATGCTCTGGTCCTCCCTCCCCCCACCTTGTGAGCAAGAATTGTGTTCCCCGATTTGTCCCCGGAGGAGGGAAGCTTGCCAAACAAAACATGCGTATCAAATAAGCAAGCAATCACTTCTTCTAGGTAGACTTATGCTTGTGTAGCGTTAACACTTGATTTCCGGGAAGCCAGAAAACGCGTATTATTCTACTTCATGAAGCAGAAAGAGCTTTTAATGGATGGAAACATCTGGGGTTTGCACCTGTTGGAAGTCATTATTGCTTTTAATTTGCCATTAGCTTATACTTTTAGGTGAGTGCACTTAAGAGGGAAGCTTGATAATTTTTGTGCTGATCATAAATCGTGAAACAACTTATTTCAGCTGACAGCTGAAGAACTGTTATATGTTAAACAGTTAATGTGCTCCGGCCCTTTGACACTGTTCTCCCAGCAGATGTTCGTGTGCTATGGCCAATATAAAGGATTCCTCTGAAGAAGGCTTTTTTGCTATTCAGTCCAGGCAGACACAAACCTCTGAAACAATATCATCAGATGTTTTTCTTTTCTCTCCAGTTCTCGCTTGCTGCAGAATACTGATACGCTAGCCTGAGGAGAAATGCCTCTATAGCGCTGTTAATGATTAGCATTGTACATCTGATAAATATTTGGGCTTTCCCCCCTTGCTCATGCCTACTTCTAGCTTAATATCTCAGTGTTCTTTCAGACAAACCTGGAATTTACAACAGGATTTAATTTTTTTTTTCATGTATTGATACTTCGTGATATTGAGGTCAGTTTCTCTCTCAAGAAAAACAGTCAAAATGAGATCATCTCCCAATTTTCTTAAGGTGACACTTCTTTGAGATACAAACGACACTTATTTGTTTTCACTACTTCACATAGATACCTGACCTCTATTAGTATATTAATGCTTGGGGAGAAGTATCTATCCCTAAAATTATCAGAAGTTTTAAAATTCATATCTATTAGTAAATAGCTGAAATCATATTACGTGAGGGACTGAGAGTAATTTTAAGAGACACCAGTATTTCCTTGACTACACAAATTCTTCTTAAAGTATACTAGTTGATCTCTTTGTGTTTACAGTTATTTGGTAAAAAAATATTCTAGGAATTGCCATATAATACCTTTATTAGTAGGGGAAATTCTAGAGTCTGCAAGGAGAGAAAAGACTTTAATCCACTTTTCCATGTACTGTTTTAATTGCTTTCTGTGTAAAGTTTTACACTTTTTGGAAAGTACAGGATACAGGATCTGAAATCATTTGCCTGGGTTGCTTGATGGTATTCTACTTGGTGACATGAACTGTACGTGTAACAAACACATTGTGTTTGAAATGAGGATAAACAGTTTTATACAGTGACTTGATTTTTACTCTTTTTCCATACTGCTTTCAAGCTACCCATCTCATTAAATCGGTCATTATATAAAATAATTATTTGAATAAATTCCTTTTCTCCAAACAGCTCTTTCTCTTTCTAACAGCTTTTTAGAAGAATATCTGTATACTGATAGTCTGAACTTTGTTTAATTCAGAACACCCTGGTTTATTGCAGGTAACTGCAGATGAGGGGATCCTGCACGCTTCTGGAAATGGTGTGCCTCCAGCAGCAAAGGATTACTGCATAATTTACAATTCTAATTGGGTATCTCTTCCAAAGAGCCTGGACAATGCTGTAAGTAGCTTATGATCATACTCCCTAAAACTAGAAAGTAATATGAATTTGGATCAGCTATAACTGGTCTTCAAAATTTTGCGTTAAATAGGTCCTACGTTGAATACTTACCTTTTTGGGTTGTGTGGTGTCCCCCACCAAAAGAACATTTCAGTGTAAAACAGAGTAAAAATCATTTGTCTGCCCAAACATCTTTGCTGTGCTACTTTGGCCTCTGGGATGTCTTGACTAACTAAAGAAAACTGACAATAATTTAAAAACAATTGTCAATATGGAATTGAACTTTGAAATAAGGATAGATTTTTTTTTTTTTTTTTAATTCTTTTGTAATAAGTATCTTATCAGGCTCGCCAACTGTTTTTGAACAAGTATTATAATTCAGAACTCTGATTATGTTGTATCTGTCAGTGCTTTTCTGGCTTGTGAAACCTAGAAATATCACAGAGTGTACACTGGATTGCCCAGAACTACAAGCAGTGATTTTTCTGTATAACCAGTTTCTTATGTTTAAATTACAGCAACAACTGCTGTGAAATCGCTGTTTAGAAACAGCTAGATATTTCAGCTATACGCTGCTCTAAATGTCCCTCAGTATTGCAGGCTGCAGCAACTGCTGCTCTGATTTTATATTCCTGAATTAATGATTCCTTTCTGTTATGCCTCTTTCTGGCAATCCTCAAATTAGGGAGCATAGTAATGTCTTCTAGATTAGTTCGCAGTATCAAATTTCCTTCTTTCAACCCGTTCCTCTTCTCCCTCTTCTCTCTGCAGACTTTCAGGACTCTGGAAAACCTGACTTCTACAGTACTCTGCAATTCTTCTGAAGTTCCTTCTGGCCTAATGAAGGACAAAGCAGTTGTAGTGATGAGAGGAAACTGCACTTTTTTGGAGAAAGCAAGAATTGCACAAAGTTTGGGTGCTAAAATGCTGTTGATTGCCAGTAAACCTAGGCTGGTAAGTTGCAACATATAGTTTTCTTCTGTAGTGAAATAGTGTCTTATCTGTTTGGTCCGATGCAGTGTTGTGCAGGGTTAGCTGAGAGAAACCCCAAAGCAGAGGACGCTGGCAATGTGTGGGATTCCCGCATGAGTCATTAACCTTCCCCACAGAGCCCTGGGCTGGCACAGCTGCTGTTCCTGAGACCAAGAGGGTCGTTCCGAGTTAGTTCTGTGCAGCGCTGTGTTATATCGTGTAAAAGTATCTGCAGCTGAATTGTATTTTTAATCTGTTCCTTGTATCTTTAATCATGTTTCTGAGTGCAAATGCTTGTCTTTATCATTCCCTAATTTTAGTGTACTCTGAACTCCCTGTAATCTTGGCTGATACTTTGTTTTAGACACGTGTGAAAAAAATAAGCTAGGAAAATTTAATCCAAAACTGGAAATAAAAGAGCCGTTTTGAGATACCATTACAGATACTTCTGTTGGTTTTTTGTTCTCTATTACAGCTGCAACATATATGAACGAATATTTGCAATTTATGAATTTGTGTGATTATCATGAAAACTTAATCCTGTTTTAAAAGTGTAGAGAATAAATACAATGTTTTGATTATCCCTTGTAATACTATAAAAGCACGAGAACTTTATGAATCCAGATGTGTTGGTAGTATCACCTATTTTGATTTAAGCACACTGTCTTCACTAACCTTTTGCAAAAGGTGCTGAATGAGCTTTTTTTCTTCCTACAAATACACTGAAATTTAAAGGATAATCTGCTTTAAGGGATCTAACTTGCTTTGCAATTACGCTCAACATACTTAGCACTGACACTTTCTCTTTTAGTCTCCTCTGTCAGATAACAAGACTGATTTTGAAGATGTGACTCTTCCAGTTGCTCTTATAAGATATAATGACATAGTAGATATGCAGTTGGTAAGTAATATAACTTCAGCATGTTATGGTTTGTATAAACTTAAATTTTTGAACAAACAAAATAATTTCAGGTCAGATGTGCATGTCTACCTGATTTGAATGTGCATAGGTACTGCTTTCAGTTTCACAGAAGAGGATGGATATCAAATCGTGGAAGTGCTAGTCTTCCTAATTCGGGTCAATTTGAGAGAATGATTAATTAGAACACTAAGAATGGGAAACATAATACCTAACTGGAGGGAGGGTAATCTTAGAAGTCTTCCTGCTAAACGAGATAAGCAGCCTTCCAGTAGACTTGCGTACAGTTGCAGATGCCTGACATATGTCAAGAGCTATGGCCTGAGAGGGCTGCTCCTTTAGCGCAGAAGCTAGCACAGTTGAGCTTGTATCTACCGGCATCGTATCTTTCAGGCAAGCAGTACCTTATCAGGCTGGATCTTGAGGAAGGTGTGAGGGTTTTTTTGTCTCTGCTAGATGATGAGCTCTCTTTATATAGCATGACTGCATCTGTTACAGAGCAGTTAGGCAGTATAGATTGAGTTTCTGCTGATGAGTTCATGGTGAGATGCCAAGCGTGTGTCATTAAAATGTGGCAGTTGTGGTATCTCCTACACATTATAGGCAGGGGAGTTTGCTTTGGGGCTATTTGGAGTTTGTTTTCCTTGACATGTAATATTAGGATACAGAATATTGCAGAGGGTTTTAAAGAAAACAGTAACTTTTCTTCGGTGTGGCTTTTTCTGTTGTTATTTTGTTGTTTTGTTTTTTATTTAGTGTTAAATAGCTTTGCTAGGCAGGAATTGCACTGCCCATGTTTTTCTGTGAATAGCAGAGGCTAGCACTAACCTGTGTAGTCTTAGCTTCTTGGATTGAATTTGCAAGCTCACTTCACCATTTCTGCTCTTAATCTTCAGAGCTGCCATGGAAGGTTGTCTTAGGTAAGTATGCAAACTGAAACCATGCCTAGATGTATAGGACTTTGGTTGTTTTCTGTCTGTTCCCATTAAAGATTGATTCTTGCCGAGCACTGACATGACTGAAGGAAGGTTTGTGATGACTGTCTTTCAGTCTGCCATAGTCTTGATGAATACTGTGTTTTGGTTCGGGTTGTCCTCTGTCTTGAAATTTGTTCCTTCAAGTAAGACAAGTGTTGTTTGCTTAGTTGAGTGGTGTTCAATATGCCCTACTAACATGAAAGGGAACTAGGGCAAGGTTAGAGCCTTAATTTGTTCTGAATCTTCTCTGCACCACTTCATTACCCAGTGCTGCTTGGGGTGGTATCATGTAGAATCGCTTCTGTATGGCTATAGTAATTCACCAGAGTAACTTTGCTAGTAGGTTAGTGTGCCAGATGATGTCTCATCCTGCTGTTGAATCGAAGAATTCGGTTTTGTCTTATAATGAGACTGCCTTCATAAAAGTAGTGAGCAACACAGCCTAGACTATAGGGGATCCTTTCCTAGTTCTGATGTGGTTTTTGCCAAAGCCTTCTGCCATGTCACTGGCAGCTGTTGTTTTGAACGATACATGCTGCTTAGAAGCTGGCAGCCATTGTACTCTTCCTACTACAGTTGTATCTCTGTTTTAACTCTTTTCAAGGCTTCTAACTGTCTCCTTTTATTTAGAAGAGAGACAGCACCAGTCTGATGGTAGCTAGTGTGCATAAGCATTCTTTCTACTTTTTCTTAGAAGATTTCATCTGTTAGCTTTCACCATTCGAGTCAGGTATACTATGAGTCTTGGTAGCAATAGCAGAGTGTTACAAACGTTCTAATAAGTGGACAGCTCTCTTGCAGAGTTGTTATCTGATGTGATGTATTTGATTCTAGTGCTCCCTGTGGTGGAAGTTGAGACTTTGCAAATTTTTAGTGAAGAGCAGAACAATAGGAACAAAAGGAAACAATCACTCTAGGTTCTAATGTGAATTATACTTTATAAGATTTCTGAAACTTAAAGGAAAAACTGGATTAAGACATGTTGGAATTTAATACTAAAAATGTATAAGCCTTTAGATTTCTTGGGGTTTTTTGGTGCTTTTTTTTTTTCGTGTCTGTGTTTTAGTTTGTTTGGAGTTTTATTTTTACATACAGGATGCTGTGATTTGAATAGGGTTTCTTTGCCTTTATCTGGTGTTATGTTCCACTTCATACAACTGCAATGTTTCACTAGAATTTGATTTTCTTTCTTGTTTTCTGAACTTCCATAACTTCAGGCAAAGGAATGATTCTGACTTCTTTAGCCTGCAGTAAGGTTAATATCTGTAATTAGATAATTCAGATGCTGAAATGAATCAACCTTCTTCACGTATGGCCAGCATATTCCACTACACTACACTACTCAGCTTCCCATTCAGTCTCTCCACTGCCAGTTTCATCTTCCTGTAGCCAAACCTGCCTGGCATGTTCATCTCCTCTCCTGCTCTTATCCCACATGCAGGCTGTTAACAAATCTGTTTTTCTGCTGTATCTTTGAAGTCTGTTTTCACTGCAGGATTGCTTTAGATGCCGTGACTTACTTTGACTACAACAGCAAACATTTCTTCCCTACCACCTTCCATTTCCTGTCAAATTATCCTTTGTTTCTTAAATCTCTCCTTTCAGTCAAATGGAAGCATCTTGGTTTTGCTTTCAAGATTTTTGTAGAATTCCATATCAGTTATGTCTCCGTGTTCCCTCCTATCTTCTTCAGTGTCCTTCAGCTGATTGTTTTTTTACTTTGGTCTTCATTTTTTTAAGTAGCATGAAACTGCTTTCTTTTCTTTTGAATCCATCTCAAATCACTTTCATGTAAAGCTGTTATTAAGTAACTTTCTGCCGCCTTGAGTTTTCACTGTGTCCTGTCTGAAGCATCGTGCCCATATCTGAACTGTGAGTTTTGTGGTTTCAAGAGCTAGAGGTAGATCTCTGCTTATATCTCACTGGAGCTGTGAGTTTGTATTTCAAGTTCATTGACTCAGATATGCTCTCCTGCAGAGCAGAAGTCTTTGATAGTACTTGGTATATTTGGGGGATGAAAAGCTTTTGGGCTAGAGGCACAACTTCTCAGAATTGTTGAAAGAATGCAAAGAAGTACCATTTTGCCTGTGGTATCCATATGTTTCCACAGCAGTAGTAATAGGGTGGTTTTCAAACCTGACCATCCTGAAAGGTAGCATGGAAAGCATTGCTGCTTTACAATGCCAAGGCAAATATATGGGATGTCTTCTGCAGTAAGTTGAAAACTTACTCTCAGCATTGTGTAGGTTAAGAGCAGGAAATCATGACATGCATCTTGTTGGAAAATAAACAGTATAATTTCTTTGTTGTCCTTATGGACCAACTTGTATGGTGTTTTTTGTGGTTTTTTTTTTTTTTTTTTAGACACTTGGAAATGAAGTTAATGTGACTCTGTATTCACCACCTTTGCCAGAGTTTGATTGCAGTATGGTTGTCATCTTCCTAATTGCTGTTTTTACGGTGGCACTAGGAGGCTACTGGAGCGGAGTAGCAGAACTGTAAGTTTGTTAAATGAACTGCTTAAATTATGTGAAGTACAAATCTGTGAAAGCTGTGACTATGATCAGTGAGAAATTATGTTCTTTTAGGTTGGTAGTTAAAAAATTAGAAGATCTAGGTGCAATTAGGTGCTTTGCCATGAAACGCTTGAGGACTGCAACCTTTGAAAAAAATCACCATAGGTCTTTGAGAAACCTTGAGCAGTAGATTGTAAAAGTCCCTGAGGGATAATGCAGCTCTTGGGGGGAGGAATGAGTTAACATTTTGACAAATTACCAAATACTCTCTAACTAGCATTGTAATACTCCAATATCCATGATAGAAAGTAGGTATTTTAGTGACACCTTTAAAATCCAGTGATCCAAGAGGTACTTATGTAGCTGTATATGGTGTCTGCATTGGCAGGGATCTGTACAACTGCTTCGTTCCAGCTGGCTGTGCAGCACCCTCTGGGATGTCTCCGCACCACACTCCTGTCACTGGGAGCACTGGGGAATGCAGTTTGGTTGTGTCGGGGTGGCTCCAGACAGTTAAAGTCCAACCAGGCTTATCTGCTTCAGCTTTGTGTGTTACCTGGTGGAGCAACAGAGCTGGGGCAATAGCAGCTCCAGCGCTAGGCAGGGGCAAGGAGGCAGCAGCGGTTCCTGTGCAGAGAAGGGGAGGGAGTGGAAGTGTAAAATGTGGCAAATGCAGGGAGAGGCGAGGCGAGGCATAAGGGTTTCTGCACTGTGCTTGGGGCAGGTGCGGCTTTGTTCAGTGAAGTGAAGCACACTCAATGCACAGAACTGTTTTTAGTCTGGGGTTAAGCTGGATATAGCGGCCTTTCAGAGCATGGTATGATTCTGCAGTATTTCTTGGATGTCTGCGTACGTTGGATGGACCAGTGTGGGTTACTACCTAGGGCTTCCCGTTCTCAGTGCTGTTCTCCTGCTTTGTTCCCCAGAACAACAGGGAGTGGATTGTATGTGATAACAACAGCTTCCTTTTTCCCACTAGTTATGCAAATCTAGTGATTTTAAAGAGATTAAAGAAGTAGAAGGAGGGGGGGGGGTGTTTTTTTTTTTTAAGGGTTGGATCTGCTTATGCCTCTTTTTTACCCTGCAGTGCTATAGGGTGTGGCTGCACTGAACGCTAAAATAATAAAATGTGATGCTGTCTCCTGTATTGAAAAATACCTAGATGTAATTATATTAAACTTGTTAAAGTGCACTTTCATAAATCTAGGGTGAGCTTTTTTTAAAAAGCTGCTTATTCAAAGCATGTCCTCTGAGAAGGTGATTCATCTAACAAAGCATCTTACTCCTGTGCGTTTTTCTCTTTTGAAGCTAGCTGTTTCAGTGCTGAATTTAGCATTTTGTAGGTAGGTCCTGGGATTCGTCAGGAACATGCTGTCTGGTGGGCAAGTTGCACTAGCGTCTGTACTAAAGAGTAGTAGGGCTATCTGCTCAAAGGACAAACACAACAATTTAAGTCTCCTTATTTTGCATGGTGAGGTATAAATATGGAGTATGTATGCACAGAAACCTTACTCCCAGTGAAAATCCCCAATTAACACCCCCTCTCTTTCATTTACTCTGTAATTATGAGGTGTAAGGGTAAAAGAACTAGTACTTAGCTAGCTTCATTCTGCTGACATGAATGGGTTTTGCAGATGCTTAATGTCTATAGTTCATGTTTTAAAACAGTGTGTAATACCCATGATTTTGATTTATCATAGGCATATTTATCAGATTGACTGCATTTAGCCCAAGAAATACTGTAGTCAGAGGTGATGCACTAATAGAGTTGAGTGCATGCATCCTGAAAAGGAGGTTGAGTTTCAATATCAGACTAGCTTTCCTCACGTGGACCAGGGTTTTGGTTAGGGGTACTCCTTAAAGTTGGCAATCACCACGTGATTGGAAAGGAGGGCAGTTAATCTTTTCCTTGTGATCTATGCTAGGTTTGAAGTGCATATCGCCAGTAAAAAATGGAGAGAAACTCAAACACTAAGCATACCACTTTTCTGACATTTTTAAGTCTAATAATGGTATGAAGGATTAGACTGAAATGCTGTCAGTCTAAAGGCTTTATAACCAATAATTCTGGTCCAGGTAAAATGCTTTCATATCCTGTCATCTGAGGTAAATGTGTTTGTCATTTTCTTAAAACAGTGAGAATTTGAAAGCAATAGCGAGTCCTGGGGAGAGAGAAACAAGACGGAAGAAGGAAGAAAATGTTACTTTCACCCCTGTAACAGTTATCTTGTTTGTTGTCATCTGTTGTGTCATGCTGGTCTTACTTTATTTCTTCTACAAATGGCTAGGTAAGAAACAATGGATAATCTCATTTGATTTATTTTTCTGCATGATCTTATTAGGTGTCTAATTCTGAAAAGCTAGATTTCTATACTAAAATTAATGTAATTATTTTAACTGTTCTCTCCATGTGTGAGTTGGGGGAAAAGATGTAGTTGCTAATTAAAAAAGAGAGAAACTTTCTTCTACTCTCTTACAAAGGCTGCCTTGACAGTGCTTGTTCCAAATGAAGTAATGTGGAGGAGACGTGACTAGCGACTAGTAAAAAAAGTGTATGATATGTGTCGATGTTCTTGGGAGGATAGCAATGATAACTTAGTAGTGTTTAGAGTGAAAGCATTTGTTAGGTATTGCTACATTGACATTGAGTTTGTGGTTGCAGTGCCCTAATTAAGTGTCAGGGGAAATGGCATTACCGTAATGGAATAAGCTCAGGCATACTAGCAAAAAGCTAAGTTCTTGAATTATGCAACTCCAGTAAAATATAGTTTCCAAGCTGTTGGTTGATTTTTATTTTTTTTTTCCTTTAATTCTGCCCTCAAATCATGCAACCAGAAAATGTACACTGTTTTAAATTACGCTTTTTAGTACAAACAATGGAACTTTCATTCTGAAAGCTTCCTAAATTCACTCTTTTTTTCCTAGAATTTGTTACCAGTTAACCTCCTGCCTCTGCAAAGAAACTTCACCATCCTGATTTTGTTTAGCTTTTGTTATCTTCACTATGGGTAATGCTACCTTTACTAAACTTGTCCCACTAAAAGACTGATGAACCTTTTAATGTGATCAAAAGGTTTAGGGAAAAAATGTCCCCTGTTTACTCTGAGCTGTTTCAGGTGAGATTTAGAAAGAAGTGAAGAAAGAGGCTCCTTAAAGAAGAAAGGGGGAGGAGTAACAGATTAGTTAGGGGGAGGAAGAAATGTGAATGGTTCAAAGAGAATATGTAACAGCTTTTTGCTAAGAAGCCTTAGGTCTGTGCACTTTGGAGCAGACATATATGAAATTTCTTGGAGGTAAAGAAGCTGTTACCAGGGTATGACATGCTGTCCCGGGGGGGGAGGGGGGAAATCTGTATTTAGTGAAAAACAAGCAACCAACACCCACCTCCTCCTTTGATATGTCACTACTGTAGTGTATGAATGTAAGTCCTAATATCAGTACTTGGAGTTAAGATCAATTCTGTAACTGAAGTACTCGGGAGAGAGTGTTTCCAGCACAAAGCCAGTTGTAAAGCTGAGCTCTATGATGGAGTTCTCTGTATATCTTTTTGTAAGTATTCAGGCATTATTAATTCTGCATTGTTGTCTCAAAATTTGAGATTCCTTAAACAGCTGGTTTCTTACTGACTTCAGAGGAACCTGTTGTGCAAAACTTCTTGTTTTGCCTCTTGGGGGCTTAACAGGTCATAACAGCGCACAATCTTGGTTACAACTAAAAAATCTGCTTGTCTTGCCTCTTTTTTCAGTAGTCTCCTTGTAGGTATCAGAATTGCTTTCTAGCCAGACCTTGAATACCAAAAAACCACCAAACCACAACTAGCAAACAACTGGTTTTGTTTGTCCACATTTCAGAGTGCTTACCATAAGTTAAATACACAATATACTATAAGTTGTTAGAAGATGGAATATTGAGTTTTTTCCTAACTAGGTGATGTCTAGGTACATAGAAATTTGTGGAAGGGATGGGGTGTTTACTATCTTAAAATGCCACCTAAATCATCAGTCAGGTCTTGGAGATGCTGAAATTTTTATGCATAAGCCAGCAGTGATTAAAAGGAAAATTTGCGGGGAGGCATATTATCAGAAATTGAGAAATCTGGTAGTTGTAAAATAGCACTTTGGTTTTAGCCATAATTAAATAAAAGTATGTGAAAGCAGTAACAGATGACATATTTCTTCTTACAGAAAAGGGAGGGGAAAAAAAAAAAAAAAGAAAGGTTTTCAATTAAAATTGTCAAAAGTCAAGTCTTTGCTTGATGAGAACTCTTGTCATGGCAGAGACACTTAGAATTCAGCTCTTTCTGTAATCAGCTGGCTATAGTCTCCAGTGGCTGTATTGAGCAGTGCTATAACTGTTAACAGTTTATATCAAATGTACATCGTTGTGTTTGATTCCTGCTTGCTATTTTTTTTTCCTGTTGTATTTTGTCACTGATTCCCATCTTCCATTCTTTTTCTTTAGTGTATGTTATAATATCAGTCTTCTGCTTGGCATCTGCAATGAGTCTATACAACTGTCTTGCAGCATTAATAGGAGAAATACCATTTGGGCAGTGCAGGTATTGTACACCTTTCAACTATTATAAATGTAAGGTTTCTTTTTGGTATTTTCTGGTCGCTGCTCAGGGTAGTGTGAAAATATGAGAACAGTGTGACAAATTTTCCTGTATGGTTTAGTGTGCAGGATTGTTACAAAAGAAAATTACAAGCTCCTTTAATAGATATTAAAGGTACCCATAGCAGGATCAACAGTAAAAACAGTGTTGTGGGATATTTGCTGCATTACCTGTATTTGAAAGCATTGCTATAATCAAACTTGAAAGGCTCTGTCTGCTTGGCTATCTGAGCTCAGTTTTACAAAATACTGATTGCCTGTAGCATGTGCTCACTTTAACTCTTTAAGGAGGGATCCTGCACATACTTTGTTTTCTTGGCAATGGGAATGCTAAATAGTTTCCAGTTCTTGGTGGACTGTTTTGAGCAAGTACTATGCTATAAGCAATAGAGGGTGTTTTCCCTCATCTTAATCTGTACTGTGCCTGTTCCAATTTTTTTTCTTGCAAAGGCAACACATTGCTCATGTCCTCTGTGTTAGAAGTTAGTGCTTACAGTCCTAACTCAGGCAGTAGGTTATCAGTATACAGATAGCCTCTTCTTACTACTCTGAGTTACATGTCCTGCAGGTATTGGTGAGTTTGGGAATGTCCCTGTTTTCCTCCCCTGTATTTTCACTTGAAAAAACCCTAATGTTTAATGCAACAAATGGTTCTTTTCCCCAAAAGAACAATGCTTATAAGTTTGGAAGCCTAAGACTATGTTTGCCTGTTACTTAGTACAGGATATTAGTGCCAGGTGATCCAGTAGCACATCAAAGGTAGAGATCAGGTAGAAAAGATGCCAGGTTTTGTGTAAGCTGCAGGACAGGCATTACTTCCGTCAGTTAATATCAGTTCAAGAACTGTCCCAGAAAATTGAGTAGGCAGTGGAAACAGATATTGGTTCACAATTTTGCAATACATAGTTATTCCATTTTTAATCTTGTATTATGTGTTCTAAAATTGATTTTTCTCCACCACCACCCCGTTCTGGAATGATGACATGACTATCCCTCACTGACATAGTTCTGGTGGCGTAATTGTTACGTGACAGAAATGGAGTCATTCAGTTCATCTGCTTCCTGCCTTCCCTGGATGTGTTTGCTAAAATGAGGACTGTCTGTCAAAGCCCAACTTGGTTTACTGTCTGTGGGCATGTTTTTAATGCAGCCCAGAGAAGCACTGGCACTGCCGTTGCAAGAATAATGCCACCTGAGTCCGGACGGAACAAAAGGGCAAAGGAGAAGCTCTCGGGATGAGAACACCTTGTCAGCTTAAGGACCCGTGATAGAACAGGCATGTGTTTTGGCTGTTGCAGGCTTTCGTTTTTAATTTAATTATTTTCTTTTAGGATTGCATGTTGCAACAAAAACATTGAAGTGAGGCTTATTTTTCTTGCTGTATTCTGCATAGCAGCAGCTGTTGTCTGGGCAGTGTTCCGAAATGAAGATAGGTAAGTGATGCATTCTGACTTAAAAGAGTAATATGAATAATTGTCATTAATGAACTTCCCATCGCATAACTAATCCTGGAGCATAGCATCCTTCTAAACTCCAGTGCCGTTTTCAAAAAAAGTCATGAAAGTATTTATGAAGCTTAACAAGCATGGGAATAATAGAGAACAAAGCTATACAAATGAACTGTGCGGTAGTTTGGAGTTACAAAAAATTATGAAGGTGAGGAAGAACTAGCTTGAGTGATAATGATTGCCACAGAGGAAAAAAGTGCAAAAATAGCACAGGGACCACAGGACCTGTGCTTCCTATGGTCCAGTGGAAGCATAGGACCACAAATACACAAATATTACAGTAAAATCCTAAGTAGCATCTTAAGCCAGATGTGAAGTAGGGCTTCCAATCAAGCGAGCAATCGTACAAGTGAACACCAAGGCCCTGCTATGGCCTCTTTTCAACTCATTTTCTCTGTAGTACGCTGATAAAGAGCAGTTACCTATTTATGATCAGAGGCTAATGTAAATTGACAATCTTGAAACTAGTATTTTTCTGGATTTGGTAGTAATACTTCCTAAAAACTACTTTCTTGCTTTCCAATCCATTTTGCGATCTTGCTATTTCCAGCAAAATCTAAAATCATTATTGCACTTAGATTCCAGCAGTAGTTTGAACAATGTGTAAAAATGTGTTCTTATTTTTAGGTGGGCTTGGATTTTGCAAGATATTTTGGGAGTTGCTTTCTGCCTAAACTTTATTAAAACACTGAAAATGCCCAACTTTAAGGTATTGTAAGTTGCTTACCTTAAGAAAGTATTCTAATGCTATGAATCTGTAAGTTTAGTGTCAGGAAGTAGGTTTTCAACACTCAAGAAACATATATTAAAAAAAGAATCTTTACCATTTTTACTAATTGAGAGAAATTAATCCCGTTCTAAATGTTATGCCAGACAAACACATGGGGGGTGGGGTGTTTGTTTTTTGTTTGTTTTTTTTTTTTTTAACATGGTGGTACAGTAATGATACCAAAATCTAACTATGCAGTCCTTGGAAACCTATGGTAATATCTTCTTCTTTTTTTTTGCCAGTCCTGTGTGATACTTCTAGGCCTTCTTCTTCTATACGATGTATTTTTTGTCTTCATAACACCATTTATCACAAAGGTATGTTTGTGAATTTATCTTTAAAATAAAACCAAAAATGTTGTCGGGTCAGTGGGGCAATATTTTTGTCAATCAGATTACTGTTTTCTGTAATCTTGATGCAGAAATGCTGACTTCCTTTTTCTCCATTTAAGACAGCAGTGGCCTAAACTTTCATCTTGTAGGGGCCGTAGAGCGTAATGTTTGTGTAGGTGCCATAAATTTTGTTAAATGACTAAGTTTTCAGCAATCACATGGCCAAAAGTAAGCTGTCCCCAATTGCGTGACAGTGTGATGATGAGAAATTACTGTCCTCCAGTTTTTTCCTTCTTTTGCTTTTAGCACACGTATATTGGAACATCCTCTAGTTCTTTCTGCAGTGCTCGTTTGCAGTGTAGTATGAACTGTAGGCAAGCGTACCGTCTTTTATTTTTAAACAGAAAGCTCATGGCAGAAAAAGCTGACATGTTTTTATCTAAACTTCCAGCTACATCTAGTGGGTTGGTTGGTTTGTTGTTTTTTAAACCAAGGCTGGACTATATGTTTTTAATGCAAAAAAATACTGTATTATACTGTGCAATACTAGTGCATTCCTTTTGATATTCAGGATGTTTCCAGTTGTGAATTGTAAGATGAGGTACAAGCAGTTTTTGTAAATGTAGTATGAATGTTTTGGTGTTTTAAACCACTAACTTTTGAAAAATAACCTTAATTTCAGAATGGGGCAAGTATAATGGTTGAAGTTGCAGCTGGTCCTTTTGGAAACAGTGAAAAGGTATGAATAGTTGTTTTACTATGTGCAACATACAAATACTGACATTTCGTAGCTAATTCATAGTGTGCTTTTCGGCATAACTTTCTCACAAAATATAGCCAGCTTCTGCTATTTTCTTTTAAGTATTAAATACCTGTTGACTTGGGTTTGATCCTAGAATGATGGAAACTTGGTGGAAGTGCCTACTGAACGCTCAGCTCCCCATGAGAAAGTAAGGATTGTATTTCAGATACTGGATTTTTAAATTATTCCCTCTGAAAAGACTATTCTTTTGGGGAAAACCTGACTGTCCAAATTCTCTTCAGGGCCTGGATATCATTGATCAATACTCTATAGTTAGGTTAATAATCCAGACTTGTTGTTCTCATTATATGGTTAAATGTTGGTTTAACTTTTTTTTTTTGTGCGTGCATATTATTTGTAAATCTGAAATTCCAGCTTACCTGTTGCCTTAAGCTTTATCCACTCTCTATGTTGGTTTCTGGTTTTTGCTTTAGGTTCTACCTATTTTGAAGTTCTGCATTATCAATTAATTAATTACATTAAAACTGTTTATTAATTTAAGCAAACAAACAAAAAAAAATCCAAAACACCAGGATGCTTTAGATTAGATTTATGTGGGCTTCTAAAATACTGTTTTACAGTTACCTGTGGTTATTAGAGTGCCTAGACTTGAATACTCTGCATCGACACTGTGTGACATGCCATTTTCGTTGTTGGGTTTTGGAGACATTATTGTCCCAGGTGAGCACATGGTTTTGGCAATTTTAACTTATGATTAAATATTTTGGTTTTGATTCTCAACTGACTTATATTAGAGTTTATTCTACAAAGTAGTGACTGAATCAAATGGAGCAGTTTCCCTTGATCTGTCAGTGCAGAATACAACAAAAGCCACAATGTAAGAAAGCTTAGTATGTTACAGAACACTTAAATAGTGAAGGGTTTTTGCTTTTCTATTGCACTGTATTGTGTAAATACAAGTCCCATGGATAAATCCAGTTGTCAGTATTAATTAAATCTCATTGAAATCTCACAGAAAGCTAGTATTCTGTGACTTCATAGTATTTTTGTATCCTAGGCTACCTAATTCGAGGTGAGGTAACGGAAAATGTATTATCAAACTTTTCCATCTTTCTCAGAAGAGCTGAATTTTGCCACAGTTGGAGTCTTCAGCAAATTACTTAAGTCAGGCACAAAGTACCATCTCATGAGCAGCGTGCTTTCCCTTTTCCTGTGATTTGTGCTGAGGCAAAATTGCTGATTGTTAAGAGCAAGCATTAAAATCCTATTGACGAAAAGTATTAAAACTACGTTGTTACTTTTCTGTATTAGTGCCTTCAAAATTGAAAATACCACAATTTAATTAGCTTGCTTAAAACAACAAAACCTTTTAATACCAAGCTCACTTCGCTTATATTTGCATTATGGTTTTGATTTTCAAGACTTACTGTAGGATTTCTTAAACTGGTTCTTGGCTTCCCAGAAATAAATGGGAAGAAGATAACATACAGTAATGGGAAGTCTTACTATAAATTCTTTTTATGCTGCGTGGGTTTGGAAGATTGGGGAGAAAAAAAATCATGGCTAAATTTTTTTTTTTTTTTTTTTTTTTTTTTTTGTCAAGGGCTTCTGGTTGCCTATTGTCGAAGATTTGATGTTCAAACAGGTTCATCTTCTGTATACTACATTTCCTGTACAATAGGTAAATCACGTGATATTTCAGCAGTGTTAATCTTCATGCTAGCTCTTTTTTAAATGGCAGACCTAGATAGTGTTCTTCGGGTAAAGGGTCAATGTTGTCAAGAATCTTTTTATAATCTTTTTTTTTTTAATGTGCCTGCCCATATTTAAGGTGAGCATTCTTTGTGGTAGTCAGCTGCTTTAAGAAAGCTTGCAAATACAGAGCAACCTATCGTCCCTCTTTTCTTCAATTATGTTGACAAGGAAGATATTACTTTAATAATTCTGGCTTACTAAATGAGTGACTTAATTTAAAAATTCACCTCTTCTTGATTGTGTATGTATAAATATCTTTTTATAGCTTATGCCATTGGTATGGTGCTGACTTTCATTGTTTTGGCATTAATGAAGATGGGACAACCTGCCCTACTCTATCTTGTACCATGTACACTCATTACTAGCTCGCTTGTTGCTTGGAGGCGCAAAGAGATGAAGAAGTTTTGGAAAGGAAGCAGTTACCAGGTAGGCTGGATGCCTTGAGTATTTTGTTGTTGTTAATTCCTTTGAGTATGTGCTTCTCTAAGTACTTGGTAATATATATAGAATCATAGAATTGTTTAGATTGGAAAAGACCTGGACGATCATCAAGTCCAACCGTTAGCCTAGCACTGCCAAGTCCACCACTAAACCATGTTCCTAAGCACCACATCTACCCATCTTTGAAATACCTCCAGGGATGGGGACTCAACCACTTCCCTGGGCAGCCTGTTCCAATG